CATTTCGTAATATCCCATTCTCTTGACAAGAATGAAATTTGACTTTGATATAAGTGGCACTTTGAGTGATTGAGTTAGCAAGAATTTACATTTTCTGAATACTGTATGCGCTGAATTAACTTTCATTTGCTTTATTGCATTTCAATGCAGGTGCATTCTGATTACAGGAGTAATGAGCTACAGAGATTAAAAAAGGAGTGAGTTGACTCTTGGATGTATGTTTTGTTTTGTTTTCTCTTCTGCCATTGTTTTTTGTTTTGTTCGGCAGCTCACTAAACAAACAAGTCTGTCATAAGTCATCCAGTCGTAATCCAAGTCACAAGGTAGTCGAATGAATATCTCATATGCAGCAAGGTATGAGACGGAGAGAACCCCCCCTGCTTTGTGTTGGTCATTGTCTCGCAGGAATCTCACTGATGAATAATGTCAAATTTACAAATAAACTTATCTTAATGTTTTAAGCCATGTTAAAAAAAATTGAAATGAGGTATGTAACACAAAATAGTTTGGCACCAGCCCTTTTTACGGATTACATGGAATAAGATAGATTCAGGAATATGATAAATAATGGTTTAATTTTTATGCCTTTGATAGTTAGATATTTGTAATTTCCCAGATGCCATTTACTAACTCTAACCCTAGTCAGAGGAACCTTCCCAATAACTCGTTCTTCGTACTTGAACATTCTACACAATTACAGCATGGTTTTACCTTCCTCAACCCAGCAAAATTCTCTAAAACATCCTGAAGGATTTTGAGAATCTCGATTGGCTGTTAAGGTTCCAATTGTCATCTTCCTATAGCTACGAAGAACTCCTCAAGGAGAAGCAGAACCTGGACGATGAGTTCTTGCAGTACCGGCGCGAGGTCAAGAACACCACCAAGGGCAGCGCGGCCAAGGAGGTACGCATCCTGAAGACGGTCATCAGGAATCTTGAGGAGGAGCTCATGAACGAAAGGAGGAAGTTCCAGAAGGCCTCTAGCAAGAGAAATCAAGAATACAAGAACCTGATGGAAGAGGTAGGTAGATCAGAACTCTCCCCTTGATATCCATTTGCCTTGTTTATCCTCAAGTTGGACCTCTTTACAACCTTGTTGCCAAATTCTGTGGTTTCAAGTCAATTCAAATTTTGGTATTCACAAATAAAATCTTGATTCAGTGCTATAGTTTATGTGTACAAAGAGTCATGTTTGTTGTGATAAGTTAATAGGCTTTTATTTTTCATTATTTATTACATGACAGTCAGTCATTAAAATATAAGATCAAAAGGCCACACATATCTAAGATTTGTCACTTCTATGGAAAATCACTTTATTAGCACTCTCAATAGTGCATTGTACTCCTAAATTTGATATCACAAAAACAGCACCTTTGGGTCTCAAGAAACAGTTTGAATATTATAAACAATGACAACACATTTTTTCTTCTTCTTTTCTTTACCACAGGTTTTCTGTATTTTGGGGGCATTGATAGGGTTATTTTATTTGAATAAAATATATTTTTACCCCGGAGTCTTGTGCTTGTGCTTAATGAGCGTAAACCAATTTGTTTGTCAGGTTGAAGAGCTACGAGCGAGTGAGAGAAACTTGAGGGTTCGTGTTAAGAGTCTGGTCAATGAGCTGGCTGTCTTGAAAAGGTAAAAGGTCAAAGGGTACTCAACAAGTACTTGAGGAAATGGATTACTCTGATTGGTTGAGAGATGGTCATGTGACTGGAAGTTGAAACGTCATACTGGACCTGCTTACATCAGTGAAAGAGAATGGTGTTGCTACCTGCGTGTTGCCTCTAACATCATGCTAGACAAAAAACCCCTAACCCGCTGTTGATTCCTTTTTGTCATTTTTGTTCTTTGTAACACACACAGTGTAATGTCAGCTTCGATCAACTAACATATCAAGTGATTCACACGTTGCCCAGTGGCATGACGCGTAGTTTGTTTCTTCCTGGTTACGATCAGTGCGAATTGTATCCATGTGTTTGCTTCAGTGTTGAAAAAGTCAGATGGAGTCGTCGCTGTAGCTTACCCCGGTTTGCAGACATTTTGAACGGGATAATAAGCGTTCATTTACTAAGGACGCAAAGAAGGAGTGTGGCCAAAATTTGGATATCCTGAGCCTTGGATTGAGAGTTGATTATCAGGCAGCAACAGAAAACTGGATACGGAGGCTTGAAAGATACCTAAAAGATACAAAATATCAGATAAGATTTGAATGCTTTGTGGTGAAGTTAGCAAAAGGATTACATATGCAGTTCCACCATGTGACAGATCCCTTTTACGAGTCGTTTGGGTCCTGAAAAGAACAGGGAATTCAACCTGTCAGATGGCAAGCTTTGCCCATACAGATACTGAAAGACTCTGATGATAGAGGTTAGTTATGTGGGCAAAATTGGAAAGGGCTAAGTGTGATGCTAAAATGCTGAGATTCTAGCGGTAGATTCAAACTCACTGAAAATACAAGAATTCAAATCTAATCTAATCTAACAAACCTGGATCTACCCTTCTAAGATTCCTACTTCAAGCCCTCACCAACTCATAACAATTTGCCACAAATCTACTTCCATGGAAATCACCATCCTAACTGGTAAGACACCCCCATCCCTTTGCTATTTATTCACAGCTCCTCAAGACGTGTCAGCAGGTCCCCTTCTCTCCCCCTCCCGTCCTCCCAGGGCTCGGCATCTCGCCGATCCATGAGTACCCTGGAGAGGGCACGCTTGGTGGGTCGAGAGGCCAGCCGAGAAAGGGCCAGGCTAGCTAGCAGAGGCCGGTCCACATCCAGGGAGCGAAGGCGACCGGCATCTGTGTCCTCCATAGGTAGTAGGTCACCATCACCAGCAGGTAGAATAGATTTTTCTATTCTAGAGAAAGGAGAGAGAAAGATACCGGCAAATTCCTTAAACTTTGATTAAACCATTTCATGAAAGCATCTTGTTGATGTTAAGACACTGAATTCCAGTTCAGTCAGTACCTATACGTTATCAGAAATTTAACTGAGCTGAATGGCATGGCAAGAACTGGTGCCCTAGCTAATTTGTTCCTTGTTCTAATTCTTGATTTTGCAGGGGCAAGGGTTCCAAGGTTTGATCCCACGGCATACACGCTAGAGAAGAAACGACGTCAGGAAGAAGCTAAAGCAAGGAGGTGAGTTGAATCTCTCCAGTTGAACACTTTGGGCCGTGCACTCCTAAATAATGACATGTATACAGTTGTGCTGAGTAAAGACCCACTCTCTGGACAAAACATGGATGCTACTGACATTGCTGTACGGCACCATTTTGTGTCCTGCTTGGAGGATGCTTGTGCATATCACAAATCCTCTTCCTGTGTCGATGATTGTACTCATGAAGCAGTGTATCCACCACACAAAATCATTCTTCTTTGTTCTGTGAAACCTTTCAGTTGGATGCTCTTCCTGCTGCTGGTTTATCAAATTCAAGAAATGAGTAATAATTGTTCTCTAAATTTATATATCATTTTATTTTAACTGCATAATCCATATCAGTGTGTTTCGCTGCTTGTAGTTTAGTAACTGACAGTATTTTTATAGGGAGAGACGTCGAAGTCGAACCTTGTCCAGCGGTTCACAGCCACCCCGGTCCCAAGAGAGGGGAAGATCGCGAATAAGGCCATCACCATCTTATCCAAGTAAGATGATCTAAACTGCTCAAGTTCGTGTAACAATCAGATTTATAGCAATTCCTAGATTTCTAGAGTCAAGAGAATGCAAGCCCAGTCAGATGAGGTACATATTTTGGCAGAAGCTGAAATTGTGCTCTGAACTTTGGCAGGTTCTTTGCTTGAGTGGTTGAGATGCTTCTGTAAAGAAACAAGAGGTCTTGGGTCCAAGTCCTGCCCCAGGCAAACAAGCCTGCGTAGATTTTCTTACTGGCTTTCATTGATCTCAGAGCAATCAGTGCTAATACCTTCATGTCATTGAAAGGTAGATCTTTCTTCAGAAGCCAGAATCGTAATTATGTTTTCACTGTACCTCCTCATAGCTTACCAACGGCCGCGATCAAGAAGCAATTCCTCTGTCGTCAGTCGAGGTAGTCGTAGATCCTCAAGTGACCTGAGCGACATCGATCCCTTCTCAGACTCCTCCCAGAAACGGACGAGGTACAGCTGAAGCCTTAGAGTGTATAATCATACGGCATACCCACGGCCACTTTTCAACTGAATGGGCACAAAAGTTGTTGCATCTAGGCTCTCAGACAATTTTCCTTTAGGACAGCAGTAATGAGTAGCAATTGTACCATTGTGATTTTATGCTAAGTTTATAACCCAATTTGCTAGCAGTTAAGTTTGCAGTTATTCTGACTGGTTTAAATTAATGCACTATTTACACTAGAATTCTATTTCTTTAATCTGCAGAGTGCTCAATAATGGAAGAAAACAGCGCCGAACAACATCAACTGCATGGAATAGCCCCAGTGTGGTAGGCCTTCTAAGCACTTTTTTCTGTGTTGGAAAATATTTCAATGTGTTCGTTCCCTTTGAAGTGACCAGAGATTTACTCTGCTTTGCTGCAGTACAGTGACAGACTAAGGCCCAGGCTAAACGCTGTGCTACTGCCGTGCCAAACTCAACTAATTCAATTTCTGAAGTTGGTTTAGTTCTGGATGGCAGTGGCATGGCATCTAGTCTTGGTCTAATACTCTCAAACATTTGTGGCAGTTTTGGCAAATATGTCAAATATGTTTGTGCACGATTTTTGTACCTCAGTCTTGAACATTTGATCTCTATTTGCCAAGAACAACAGTCAAAAATGTCTATTACCTTTTGCGTATCACTTCTTGGGATCATAGACCAGTCCCCACCTACTCTGTCCAACTGAAAATGCGGAGACCATTACTTATATTCATTGATGCCTATACTATGGAGGCTTTACATGGTAGCCATCTTGCAGGGCAGTTCTTTTGTTCCACAGGGAAACCTCCTTGTGCATACCCTGTGGAACAAAAGCAGTGACCTGTAAGGTGGCAGCCACGCTTTCCCTTGATTTTCACCTGTGTGGTTAAGATAATAAACTGTGGTGTGGGAATAGTAAACTGTGGTCTTACTTTGGGTGCTGTGAGTCCTTCGGTTGTTAAAACATCATAACTCACATCAAAGCAGCTAATAATTGTTAATTAAAAGAATGGATTTACCCTTTATCTCACTCCTACAGACATTCAGGAGAGCTGATTCCTCAGGGAAGCCCAAAAGATATCCTTTTTATCACTTAATATGGCACCCATCACTGGCTACTCACACATGTTGATTGAGATCACCAAGTTGCGAGTGCTTGGCATGTATTGGCCCTCGGTTATTTGAATCTCAGTATGGTCATATTATAGCAGTGGATGATCCTTTGGTGAGAACTTGATGTGTGAACGCACAGGTTTATGCGTGTCTGGCATGAGACTTGCTGCTCAGATGTAACAAATTCACATGTTGCAATTCGTGATCTCTGCGTGTGTCAGGCACCCCGATGATATGATTCCTAACAAAATGTCTCTTCTGTGGCACGTACTTACTCTAATGCTGCCTAGGTCAATGTAGCCAAGTTTCCTTGTTACTGAAATTCTTCCCATGTGATGTTCCACAGGGGCATTAGGTTTGATGCTTTGACAAAGCAAGACCGATGGTTGTATTGCTCCAACTTCAGTAGCATAGCTTTCTCTTGTGTCGGTGTCATACTCCTCTAAACTCTGCAACTTTGGCAACATTTCTGTAGAGTGGCTATCTGTCCGTTACAACCTGTTCTATGTTGCAGCCACGTGACCATTGCAATCACCTGTCGATTGCTATCAAGTAATTATAGTTAATGATGCATTCGTAGTCACCTGTTACCCTTTTGTTTCCCTTCTCACCTTTTTCAGTTAACCCTAAAATTTGAGAGGGGGCCCCTGGGGATCTGCCCTCTACACATTTTCTCTGATACATTTGCAACATTTGGAGTTTTGCCGTTTATTTATTTTATTTATTTATTTCTGGTAAGGACACCAAGGATTCCTCAAAAGCGCCCCAAGCACTGTAGCTCGCAAGCCTGAAGAAACCTGTAGAGAGGAGACAATGAGAAGCAGTTACAGTTTTAGAGGTGGGAGAAAACCCAGAGGATTATTCTGGTTAAAACCCATGGAATCAGGTAGGGACTGAAAAGCCAAGCCACGTATTGACCAAGCTGGGAATTGAACCCGGACCGCAGAGATGGAAGGCGAGGAAAGAACCACTACGTCAGCCTGACTCCCCGTTGAAGTCTTGCAGTCATTTTGCCAACAAATTTATGAAAATCAGACATCCCATTCTTGAAGAGTGTACATTTCAACAAGATGCGTAGGCAAACTTTTAAAGTTTTACCATCAGCATTGGCTCAACCTAAGGACTAATAAATGTGACAACATCAACTGTACAAGAACGCAGCTGAAAAAATAAACTAAAAACCCCACTTTGTTATATTTAATGGACGCTTAACAACTGTTCCTATGCATATCAATGTTTCAACAAGACTGCTCATTATGTCAGATGAGATCATGGGGATGGTATTCACCCCTACTTGGCTGTCATCAGGCTACCCCAACTCTTTTAGGGTTAAGCAGTTGAAGTGTAGCCCACTTTCTTTGACTTGATACCACGATGATGAGCACACCTGACCCTTACCTCGATCCGGGCAGGGCGCACCGTGTTGCCAACCAAGCCAAGATCAGGCAGAAAGATCTCCAGGACTATGGAGTTAAAGGTACGGTTGACCTTTCACCCCAAGTAACATACCAGTGGTTAACATTTGGGAGAAAATCCACTTTTCTGTCTCTCCTTTTGGGACCATCCGGTTCATCATTTTCACGAGCGTGCAAAAGGCGCTCTTTCTGGTATGACCCCTCCCCCTCCACAGTGAGTCTGCAAAGAAAATGGAGATGGCTAGTCATCATTTTTCACCTTATATAAAACGCATAGGCAGGCCGGTAACCCCTACCTTGTGTATCTTTTGTACACTCGTGAAAAGGATTTAAAAAAAAAAACCTGGATGACTCCAAAAAGTGTGTGAAATCAAACTGATTCTACGAGTAAAGTTTTAGGACATTGCATACACAACTGAATTGACAGAAGCTACTAATCACTTTGTTTGTCAACTGCTTTTGTGACAAAACTGCAAGTAGAAATTCTACATCATGTCATTTGAATATTCATTACGTGATCCTTTTCTGCCCCGACTGACCTTTAGCATGAAACTGGTGCTCACACAGAAACCAAAGAAACCCTATAAACCAAAACACAAAACCAGACCAAATGTAGGATGCGACACACAACACAACACAACACACGACAAAACGTGACACGACACGAGACAAACGACTTATGATACAAGACAAGATGTAAGACAAGTCACGTGTAAATCAGCCATTTGGGGAGAACCCATGCCTAGATAGCTATCAAAATCCCTGAAAAGTCACAGAACACGTATTTTTATGATCATTGTTACAACCTCTCTGCTGGATATTCTGTGAATTCATCTTCATTCCTCTTCTCAATTCTGTCATTAAAACCCTCCAAATATACACATATATCTACAACCCAACAAAATATACACAACCCATAGAGAAGACATAATAAATGTGAAATTTATCTGTCTTCTTAATCTTTACATAAACTGTCAAAAGCACACCAAAATTCCAAAATGTTAATTAGTGATTGTTTCCAATTCTAAGTATTTGAAGAATTGGTTGCTAGATTTTGAATTTTATTACTGATCGTTGATTGTTCATTTGTTTTTTTTCTAGATCACTCCATGGGTATGTATAACCGCTCCTCCGAGATGTCAGAAATTGATGCCCGCCTCAGTGCTCTGCAAAAATTGATGAGTAACATACCCAAATAATATCTTCAAGATTCAATATATTTTTTTTTATGAATGGTATATATCATTTGACTTTTTGGGGAGAAAGGGAGATTTTTTCAAAGGCAAAGAGATTTTTAGAAACACTGTAACCCTTTTTCATAGATATTGTTTCCATTATCTGCTAAGGCTGTTCAAGTAGATTTTTTTTTACTGTAATTAGCAGCTTTTATAATTGGCTTTGACTGTTGACAGTAGGAAACTGAAATTTTATCAGGAGAAATCTTAAGGTGCCTTTGAAAGAAAGTTGACATCGTGTATATATATAGTGTAAATATGTACAGACCTTAAGACTGACATTGAAATGTTTCTATAGTGAAGTGAAAAATAGAGCAACCTGTTCATTTTTTCGTCAGATTTATTTTGAATCATTTTGTGGATTATCTCGCATTTCAAATTGCGAATTGTCATAATTGGTTCAAGTTTCCCCCCAAAATAAAACAATAGGTATATCTACGAGTTTATTTCAGAAAAGCCCGCAGGAATATAAAAATAGCAGAAATTACAGCTACATTCACTCAAACATCTTTTAAAGACGTGGACCGGCAGAGTAGGAACGAATAGTTACTATCACCAAATAGCTACTCTGTACAAATTACCACCAAAAGAAATCTTTCAGTTTCAATTGCACACATACCTTTCCCGGTTATTTGTGTGAAACTGTGAATTCTAAAATCATTTTGAAAATATTCTACTTTGAATAAGAAAAAAGCACATTATTAGCTATGTTTGTCAGACTTGGTTACCTTGACAATGAGGAATGGCAACAAGTGCCGTAGCTTTAGAAGACCTGATTCCTCACAGTCAAAAATAACTTCTGGAGGCTTGATATGGGTCCATAAAGCACTGTTGCAGTTCAAGCCTCTTAAGGCCATCACAAGACGGGACCAAACCATCTGAACACAAACACAAGACATTTAGTTTGAATTCCTGTCACAAGCTCCATAAGTTGCAACAAAAGCATTCCTTTGTTACTGTCCATCTTGTTACTTGTGACTGGTCTTGTGACAGTCTAGACCGCGACAATACCATAAAGGTGATATACTGTGGGAAAAACCCACAAAATTCAGATTGTGTTTGACACTAGAAGAGCCGACAGTTTTTAGGAAAAAAGCATCTTGAATTGCAGCGAAATAAATAAATTCAGTTTGTTTCATTATCACAATTCATATTTTTCCCTGCAACATGGATACCGGTACAACTTTACACAGACACTTTACCAGTAACATTTTAGGTTCTGCAAAAAATCCAGATAATCTTATTTTCTTCAAGTCAAGGATTTTTTTACAATTATATTTATGCTGATTTTTATTCCAAGTTATTTAATAAATATGCAAGTATAGAATGACTATTTTCTGTTTGCCATACTTTTACCATTGGGTGCAACTTTTTGAGCTCTGCAGATGGAGGGTGATGTGTGATCCACCATTCCAAAAACCAGGCTGAAGAATTTTGAAGTTATTTTCTGGAAAATTAAAGCAATGTACATGTGAACAATACAAAGTCCACAGTTTTCATTGCCCGAAACTTCCAAAGCGTTCGGCAGCCATTTTTGTTTACATACACATAACATCACTTTGAAGTGTAACAATTAACAGTGGATGAGAGGGATTTTAAAACGTCAAAATTACATGCACATGAACATGCACCTACTTCAGTCTGTGGAATGGTCGGCCACTTTTTTCCTGCAGGAATAAAATTCATCTGTAGGTGCATGCCTGTCCGTTGGTATTGTACAGTGCTTGTGGAAGTACCAGTGATGACCATATGAAAACTATACTCTATAAAAACCTCGTGCGCGGGTACGTCTTTTACATCAAATGTCTTGAGGAAAAAACCCAAAGCAAACCAACACAATAAGCCATTTGCGAGTTAAATTTAAATAAAACCTGGTACACTGAGTTCTTTAAATTCATGTGAAAATAACAACTTGAATTCTCCATACTGAAACCACTGTTGCTATACCTCGTGATTCGAGGCAAGCTTTTGCTTAGTTAAGTAAGAGAGGCCTTGCAACAATACACTATTCTCAATGGATAAGAACAGAACAAAGGAACCAGTCCATTCCAGAGATGGTGGTCGCTATGCGAAAGCTTGCCCCAAATCACGAGGTATAGCAACAGTGTCTTTAGTCTGGGGAATTCAAATTGTTACATTTCTATGCAATCAGATAACACAGATACCAGATTACCGGATTTATTCAAATTTAACTCGCAAGTGGCTTATTACATTCCTATTGATGACTGTAAGAACTGAACAGGAAGTCCAGTCAGGCTTAGTGTATCTTGAGATCTATGCAAACCAAGACTTCACATAGCTTTGAATATGTGTTTGCATGACAAAGAACCTTTGAGGAATGCAGAGGTCAGGATAAAAAAAACCAAAAGGCCCTAGCCATCCCCTTGAATCTTGAAGGTACATGTATTACAGGCCATGAGCAACGTGGAATTATTTATCTGCCATCTCGCCCATCCATTGTGCTTGAACTCCAGTCTTCCAGCTGGAACAATCACACAGTATAGTCATAACACGATTCAAAATTACACAAAGCCTGATAACTCTTCCGTCTGTTCATTCTTCAGTCTGATATTCTACATTTATTGTACAAATTTCATTTTATTCCAAAGCCAGGCATTTCAGATATGTACATAATTTGTTGTGAATTATGAGGTTCTTAGCATTGGTAACCTAGCCAGGAATTGTCCTACAACTTGCAAGTTACAACTTGGTTAGTTGCGTGTTTTTGCAACATCAAAGTTACTTCATTTGTGTCTGGGAGGGAACAGTCATCGAAGAGACATTGGAAGTAACATTATTACAAGATCTTGGTCTGTTTCTAATGTTTTTGCATTAATGTCAAGAACTGGATCCTTTCTGATTGCAGCTCGCCACGTTTTCAGTTGACTTGCTTGGTTTCTAACTTGCTGAAACAATCACTGTTTGTTTAAGTGTCAGGACATTACAGATGCCCATTAACCTGGGGGGAGGTCTGGGAGGGATGACTGGGCCGATCCCACCCCTGGGGGGTCAACAATTGAAAATAATGAAAGGCAATATTTTATTCAGTGGTCTATTTCTTTTTCCTTCCTCTAAAAAATGTGTAAAAAGCACCAAAATATGGCCTAATCCCTCTTAAAAATGCCATAAAACATTATTTTCACAAACTGTTCACCCCTCAACAAATCTGGTTCCTGATCCATGTTTGCACTTTCATTGCTGACACCAGAAATAGCAGTTTGCCACCGTGCAGACTTTTGATAGCTGGCCCATACTGCAAGGTGTGAAATACGGAGTGCCAATTAGGCGTATTTTTTTTATTGCTTGCAAGTAAAAGTGAGTTTCGTTTAAGGAAGGTCGGTTTGAAATTTGCGAGAAAAGATCTGAGGTAATTCTCATAAAAAAGGAAAATTGAATATATAAAGGTACACCAATCATTGTGTCAACGTCCTTGTCATATCCCTTTAGGATACAGGATCAATTTTTGTCTAAGGTCTAATTTTTGTTTTGTCTAAGATGCGAATCTTGGGGAAATGCTCTCAAATGACTGTCACTGGTTCAAAAATAGTTGTTTCTCAAGGGAAGAGGCCAAGTTTTTTAAATGCATAAACATGCGTGGCTAAAATTGAGCTTGTATTTCCAAGAGCAGAACCAGCAGTTATGTAGGTTAGTCACTTTCCATTTTTGTGGTGAGTGGTATAAATGGAGAACCGAAACTTAAGGTAGTGAAAACATGCAAGGCAGGAAAAGAGAGGCAACTTTTGAATGGAGTTGAGACCTCAAACTTAACAGGAGACTAGGCCTGTGTTGGGTACCAGCCCGTCGATATCAAAACCCGATTCCATTTTTTGGGCCGGGTACCTGTAAAAAATTCCACGCATAAAATGTGTGTGAGCTTTAAAAGTGAACGGCAGAATTGCTGAAAAACCTGGTCCAATGGTCCTCACTCTGGTTCAAAGATTGATGGAGCTACTTTTGTTACAAACTGAAGCCTTAGGGAACAATTTTGTTTAATAAAAAGGTGGAGGTCTGCCAGGATTAATGTAAGGGTATACCGGATATCCGGTATTGACATAAAACTGGTGCTCGGTTCCAAAAATACCCATAAATGCACGCCCCTACAGGACACCTTGTATTTTGCCTCATGAAAACATTGGGAAATTTTGCAAACAAGGGTAAAGTAAGTCTGATTTTATTCTCCATGCTTTAGACAGAGGAATTCTGAGCACTTCTAAACTTCATCATTTTTTCGCCGGAGACAACCCAACCACTTGTCTGTGCAGTTCCCGTATCCTTGCGTCTTGCTCTTCCACAGTGATGCCCAGCTCTTCCACTCTCTGCTGCAACGTAGAAATGGCCGCCGTCTGCTCCCCTTCGTGTTTCTGATCTTTCCGCTGCAGGCGGTAATACTCAAATGCTATCGTCCCCACGGCCACCACAAAGAGGAACGTCTCGCCAATGATGTCCGCTCCTAGTTCAACAGCTGCCTCCTCCGTGAGAGGTTGGACTGAAGAGGCTTTGCCAAGACCAAGTATTTTCATCCTCAGGTTGACTTCCATCCAGTGATGCACTGTAGACAAATGCACAATCAATGAAATTCAATAAGAAAGGCTTACATGTAGGTAACCTCTCCAAGTTTAAGCTTCCACAAAAACAAAGTGAGGATTTGTTAACAGTTCTGCAGACAGCATGGAGTTGACAGTTTTGTGAAATGTATGAAGAAAAACCACTTGCTGTTATTCAAAAGGAACACTAAATTTCTGAACCTTTAGGGGAAAAGCTGATTAATTAACATTGTGAAAGACTGCATTCTCAAAGTCAACCTTTAGTTGGGTCATTCCATGAGGTTGGGGCACAATTTGTGACGGTGTGTGTTATTTTCCAGAGTAAATTGCCTACTCTACAGGTCATGACAGATGGTAAAAGTTACCCATGTAAGAAGAACACTGTTACAAATTGTGCCCAAACATCATGGAATGACCCAGTTGTTGTTAACTACGAAGTTACAATGTGACTCTTACAGTACTTACATTGTGCTGGTGGGATGCAAATGTATTTGCGCATAAACGGTCTTGTTTTGGCCATCATCTGAATCCGTTTGGCCAGAGGTTTACTGATCTGTTTCACGGCCAGTGAGGCGAGTTTGATGAGGGGGAAAGCGGCTTGTTGGAAGCCTGCCATTCTTTCACTCGACACTAGCCTCCACAAATGGCTTGTCAAAAATCTCAATAAGCTGTGCTAGAATTTGTCTTGAAGAACCCAATACACGTATGTTCACATAATGCATATTCAACTGTCACACCGAAAATGAAATTGTTCACTGTCTACAAGTTACACCCATGCTCTTACTAACTTACTAGCCTGGGCTATAGCAACCCACTTCATGGACTGCTGATGATGCAACCATGGCATGCCATGGTCATGGAGGGAGTAGCATTGTATTTTCAATGGCTCATTTCAATGATGTCAAGGATTCAACCAAGGATAACGGGGCAATTTAATGCTTCTGAGGATCTGATCAAAAGAAACGACAATGTAAAGATGCACCCCTTATTTTCTCCGAGCAATCAGACAGCAATCTTTGTCGTTCAGTGAAGTTGCACCGACATGTACACTACACAGTGCTAACATGTACTTAGTGTTGGCCGGCTGCGGAAGTTACACGCGTCTTTGTAATTTGCTGCTAGCCTCTAATCCATGCTACCATTGGTGCACGTGTTATTTCCAGCCGCAGCCATATCCTTCAAGTATATGTATTTGGATTGGTACCTTGGTAAGCCTGTATAACATTTCACTACCTTGATAGCCACAGTGAGTGCGACCAGTCTATCAGTTGAATGTATGGAGAGCAACTGGAACTTGTTGATAACTTTGAAAAAATGCTACATTCAATTTGTATATGAAAATAACAAAAATCGAGAATCATTCCACTTGTTTGAAAACTAATGATTTCACTTCGTTCAGTTTTGCATCACAAGAAAATTCTGAAATAAAACTTATCCAACTTGTGTTAGTTGTGTGATTCTTTCTTATGTCTAGTTCTGGCTTTTGTTGGCTTTTGCCAACTCAAATAAGTGATTGCTCGAACTTTTTTAAACGAGGGAATGATCCACAGTGAAAGAGATGCATATATATGAGCACCTGAAATTCGCCTCTATAAAAAACAAAATAAATTCGTTTTGCACACCTCATTCATGTTACAAATCCGTCACTTTAGATCATTACAGAGGATGTAGATAGAAAATGTAAATTTTATAAAGAACAAGTTCACGGTTCCCAATGAAGTTTAACAGAATTGGCTTCTGGAATGTGTTAGTTCTTGCCCGCCATACAAAACAACAATCTAGGCAGGATCTGCGTGTACACACTGTAGAAGTGCACGTACTGTACGTACGGCCATGGTACGGCGCCAATACCTGCACGGTGCATGCAAGTGAGAGCTTGGCTGGCCAGCGCCTAGTTGCATTCCCGAAACTTCTGCAGGCGGTTAGGTTTTCGGTAATTCAAGTAATATTCCGTTTACAATGGGAATTCCTGGACAAGACGGTATGTACACTCTGGTAATGTGATCTAAATTTCAGCTAATCTTCGCTGGAAAAGGTGTAGTGTAGGCCTCCATTTTACTTTAGGCAAAGCAGTTGCTGTTTGTAAGGAGACGTAGGAGGGGCTGTGGCCGTGTACGTGTATTCGGGGAGGGAGCGCTGAAGCACTAGGTGCGGGCACGAATATCATGATCATGATGGGAAAAATGAACGGGTGACTTTCGTTCGATGGAGTTGTTTCACTCTGTTGATTTCCTTTACAGCCTTGCTCTGGGTTCTCAGCTTTTGGGGAACTGATGTTTTATTTAAAAGAAAAGCATTTTTCTTGACGCCTCTTTGGAAAAAGTGGAAGAGTTCCACATACAGACACCAGACACCCCGTGCAACAAACCCCCGAGTATGAGACAGGTCTGAAAATTCTGTTTTCTCAATAAACGACTTGGTATTTTCTCTCCTTAATTACATTTTCTGGACAAGATTTGCCTTCTAACGGCTAATAGGTCCGCATATGGAACTCTTCCTGAAAGAGTTTTGTCAGGTTGTTTGTTATCACATCCTGGCGGCTGTCATTGCCGATTAAAATTAATTCCTTGTTTAACATCACTCAAAGTTATATTTTTGGGCCAGGGGGGGACCTTTGATACTTGACATTTCAATTTCGTATGTTTCAGTACCTGGACAAGTTGAATCCTTTATTCTTGACCAGCTTTGGTGGGTTTGAATGTACGTACATACGTATACATGTAGGCCCTACATTGAAACGCGAACAGCGTGTGATTGACCGTACACTGCTTGACTCAATCGGTCATGGTTGAGCCTTGAATGCAAGACTAGAGAATTAGAAAAAACACACAAGACCATTTTTGTGGTGCAGACACATCTGCAAGGTTGAAAAGGGCTGAAAATTTGTTAAAAAGTTGGAAACACATGTACAAATATCATAAAAAGTCGGGGCGGGAGGGAAAATCCAGTCGGGCAGTGATGTAAACAAGGATTTAATTTTAATTGGCCAGTAACATTTTAAGGGAAAATTTGTGTAGTATGGAGCTCTATCCAAATTCTGTTTGCTACATGTACATGTACATGAATACCTCAATATTTTTCCTGTTGAACTTGACTCTTTAGATCATGCTATTGATTTCAGGTTTCTAGAAATAGCCTAATACCAATAGATACATGTAACTGTAGGGAAAAATTAATGACATCTGTACGCAGAATTCTTTCCCCACTTTTTTCCATGTATTTGGTAATAGGACTAGGGACACCACACCTGTAAGTTCAACTAGGTTAGATACTTTTACTCAGTTTTTTAAAACTTTGCACAGCCTGTTTATATGAAAACTAACAGCTGAGTAGTCTTTGGTCACCTACTTTGGTGCTTTTGCCTCAACCTTTTGTGGAGGTTGTAGAGAGGAAAAGTGCAATTCCTGCCATGTCTGGCAGTTAAAGGGGATGAGGATGGAATTGGAGAGGTGTCTGTATTTAAGCAAAAGTAAGAACTGCCACTTTAATGCATAATATTGGTGCTCGGTAACACATGGTCGGTCATTGCAAAAATGTCGCAAATAATGAAGTTTCTAGGTACAGTGCTTTATGTACATGTACTGGTACATATGTACGTATGGTACAATTTTAAAATTTAAGAGATTGTAACCATGGTAACAGGTCAATGTGGCTTATGAATAGTTTTAGTTATGGCAGAGAGTAAGAGTTAAAAATGGGTAAAAAGTTTGGACTTGATTTTTCCTGGTGTGCATGCATTCCTCCAGGAAGGTAGGGCATTTGGGAACTCGGAAGCATCGAGGGAAGGTCTCAGATGGGAAAAAGACATGCTAAAGTGCTTCTTAGATATCCCTTATTACAATGTAGGTGCCGGTCGTTTGCCTCTTAGCAGAGGCAGTACAACAGACCCCATGGACATTGGTTGTATAATTTGAAGCCTTCCAGGGGCATATGGGTAACAAAACAAATATTTGCTTTCTGGAAATAAAACTTAGGAGTGAAACAGGGAGAAGACAAAGAAGGAATTAAATTTTACAGGAGGAAAACCTTGCAAGGATACTTCAGGAGAAACCTGTGGGATCAGGTAGGGACTGAAAAACCCAATCCACATGTTGGCCTGGATGGTAGCGGTACTTGAACCTTGGGTCGCAGGTGGAAGGCAAGGAAAGAAACACTGTACCCTGAGCTATAGGTTGCCCATCTTAAATTAGAACTGGAAAGAACTTGGTCCTGACTCCCCATAAAGAAAAAAAATCAAGTTTTGAATTGTATCGGTATACAGCCCAGAAATCAGGCCATGGATGAATGATCTTATGGGGCTAAAGAACGTACTGTATAAGGAGCCAAAACATTGCACTCTGTAGATGTGGTAAGGTTGGTTGTTGCTTTGTTAAGCCATGGGTTTGCCTCTGGGTTTTAATACAAGCCCTGTGGACCATATCGCTACAAACAAGCAGGGGTTGAAATTGACGGTGGTCTGCTGGTCCGAGGCCAGTAGAAAAGTCAGCAGACCAGCTGATCTAATAAAATTGGCAGTCTAGTGGGCCAGCACAAAATGTACTTAACAAACTTCATAAAATATTGAACTGAAAAAAAGATTTGTGTACCCGAATTAGTAGTGTTATGGATTCCGGTTATATTTTTGAGCGCTGCGTGTACCCAGCTACGTGACATACATAAAAGAACGATCCAAATTGTAGTTTTGTCACATGTGCACACCACTCGCTGTGCTAACAGGCATTTACAAAATGAGTGGATTAGACTTATGACTTTGGTTTCACAGGTCTCAGTCATTTTGAAAGCAGTGTCCGAAACCACATGTTCCAGACCTGACTGGAACCAGTGAAACAGAAGTCTAAGCCTAATCCATAGTCTAATCCTAAGCCTAATCATGGGCTCAACCAATTTTAAAGTGGATTCAATCCTCTTGCAACCGTAACAACACCCTGGAAAGGACATAGAAGAAGTCACAGACAAGGAAGAAGACAGCGATTTCTTATTTGACCTCTGCTTACATGTATCACACATGTAGACGTTTGCAGCCACAGTTTACAGAATTTTGTCCGGTTCTGATGGGACCACCAAACTTTCAGCAGGACTAGTGCAAATTTGGAAGTACTGGTCCCGCTGGCTACCTGGGAAAAAAAGGGTTAATTTCGACCCCTGGACAAGTGTACACAGAGTGAACAAACATGAGCAACGTTACAGTTTAAACTTGCTGTCATGGTACTCTTATTGTATTTTGCCTCTTGACCATGAGCATTGAGGATACATGTACATGTAGGTTTCCTGAAGAAGCATGAATCTTGGACTTTCAAAAACACAAAACTGCTTAAACTTGTAACAAACAAAATTGTTTCTCAGACCAGAAGGTTAACAAAAAATTAGGAATTAAAAAAGGAATGTTTCTTCAATAATATAGCACCATAAGGCCATGGACTCAACGTTTCATGAGATACCAGGTAGAAGCTTCTGTTCATGTAAGGAATTGTTGATGTTCTGTGCTGAAGCAGGAACTCATAGAGTCTGAATTTTGGCAAGTTTTGTTCAATAAATACATTAAGCTGACAAACTGCTGTGTTGCTACAAGATTTAGTATAGTGGACTAGCGTATACATGTACACATGCATGTATTTTCTGACTCAATTTTATCAAAGGTTTACCAACATATATGTACATGTATGTACGTACGTAAGTCTTAGACAACATGTGTCTTGTGATTATGCATAAATGTACATGTACAAGCATGTCACGTATGTACATGTTCTCTCCTTTTCCCATTTCTGACCATTTAAATGAACGCGTTTTGGGGACATTAAGGTGATGTATTTCCATAATTTCCATACCCTGCACAACTACATGTAGTTGAGCCAATTTGTAAGTTTCCCAAGGGGTGTACCTTTGTTACAATGCTTGTTTCTTGTCATCCCTAACTTTGTTGCAGTTTGTAGGCAAGTACATGCCTCGCGAAAACCCTCTACATCCAATCTACATACATGTACATGTACTGTACATCATGTAGCCTCCCCCACAACACATTTTCTCTGTCTTTGGAAGAAGTCATGAGATTGCATTATACAGTGTAGTTGAAGGAAACTGTTCTCAATTTTGTTTTCTGGGAAGGAAATTCTCTTCATCTGCATAGATTTCCCTCACGTCTTGCCCCTTACCAACAGAAATTTCCACAATTTTCCTGATGATCAGGGTCACATTTCACTGCACTGCTACATGT